CACCCAGCTCAAGAAACAGCTTTGTCAACACCCACATACCCCCTTTTGCTCCCCTCAAGTTATGACTCCCTAAGGGTAAATCAGTTTTGCCTGTTTTTATACCTTGTATCAGTGAAATCATACACTATAGACTCCTTGGTGTCTGGCTTATTTTGCTTAACATTGTAAGATTTGGCAATATTGTGCATATTTATAGAGCATTCATTCTCATTGCTGTTAAATATTACATTATGTGAATACACCATACTTTGTTTCTGTTCTACTGCTGATGGACATTTGGTAGTTTTGTTTTTGTCTATTACTAATAGGGCTGCTGTGAACATTTGCTGAACAAGTGCACTTTAGTCCTGACTACTTTCACCACCAAAGGCTTATACAAGGTGTAGTGAGGTATCTTCCATCACATGTAATTGGACTGATGGTCTCTCATGGGTGAGTACTGTTATGCTTTTTATCTGGTGAGGTCTTATCTTTTTATGTGGTTGCTTTCATGGGGTCAGGGCAGGGCCATGTTTTAAACATTTTGCATACATGAAAGAACGTTGTGTATATTTAAATAGGTGCTCAACTACTGGCTGACTGACTGAATGAATAAACAAATCGATGAATGGTGTGTGCCTCCCTCTTTTCTGGGAACAAGCCCTATTTACAGGCAAGGCTCTCAGTTGCCTTGTTAGACCAGGCTGACCTGCTGCTTACCCAAAGCAGATTGATCAAGGGTGGACAAATGGCCCAACCTGGGCCAATCATGTCTCTCTCCTGGGAATTTAAAATTTGGAGCCGAAAGAAGGAGACTGGATGCTGTTGATGCTAGGTCCCTGTGATTGTGTTGTAGAGAGGAGACCCACAGGCTCCTGCTATCGGGTACCAAAGGCACACCTTCCCTAATTCCTTGGTGCAGATAAAGATCTATATGTATGACTGCTAAACAACAACAAACACAACTATTTTGGAGTAAGTTCCAAAATGTAAAGTAGAGAAAGTAAGTGCTGTTAAATGTTAAAACAGGGAGAGATCAGTGAAGACTACCTTTGTGGTGCATCTTGCTGCCTTGGCTTCTTTCTTGAGGAGACTTACCAATGAATGTGATCAGATTTTCTGAGCCAGGAATTGCAATATTAAGGCAACGGTCCAGGAGAGAAGTAACGGGGACTTGAACCAGGGAAGCAGGTGTGGGATTGCAGAGGATGGATGGTACAGATCCTACAGGTAAAGGCTTTAAGTCTTGGAAATTAATTCAGTGTGGAGTAAAGAGAGAAGTCAAACATGATGCTAGGGTTTGGATTTCTGTGTTAGGAAAGATAATGTTTATATTATTATATACGAGGACATGTGAGCAGAGCAAAGGGAGAAAAGATAAAGATGAGTTCAGTGTGGGATATATTAAGTTGAAGGTCCTGGTGAGACAAGCAGATTGTTCTGGCCAAGAACATGGGCTTAAGAGTGAGGAAGATTTGGAGTTCCATCTGTGCTCTGCACCACACTCAGATATCCTCAGCCCCATATTTAGCCTCTTGAAGTCTCAGTTGCCTGTCTATAAGCTGATACCTCCCTGTAAGGATTAAAATGAGACAGTGCATATAAAGGGTTTAACTTATTGCCCAGCAATTAAGTATTCATAAAATATATACTAACAGGTTGATGATAAGGTGATGATGTCCAGAGGGCCCCTGGGAAACAGGGACTGGAGCAGGGCAGCAATGGATCTGCTTACAGGCGGAGATGAAGCAGGGAAACTGGTTGAAATTGGCCAGTGTGGAGAAGAAAAAGAAAGTAGCCCAAGTCATATCGTTGGTGGGGAACACCTTTTAGGAGAAGGAGCAGGAGTTAGAAGAGGCGCCTGAGATGGGACTGTTTGAGAGGCAGGAGTGTAGGCGCAGAAGATCCAAAGAGGCAGGGCTGGTCTGCAGCTGCCAGTGCTCCCCGGAAGTCAAGGGTACGCCACATTTCAGGTGAATATCCTTCTTCTTCTTAAAGCGTGGTTCACATGAAAATCTAATAAATAAACGTTAGGGGCAGCAACGTGTTCTGCTACTGAAATGTAAAAGACTGAGTCTTCCAGGTAGCAGGTATCATCTGCACGTCCACTCTCACCAGTGTGGACATGAACCAACACCTGGCAATTCTTTGGTGTCTTCTGTGCGTCTCCTCCCACCCTGTCAGGCTCTTGCCTGCTGCTGCCACGCGCCTCTGGAGGACAGCCAAGTAGATGAACTGTTTAAAAAGAAAAGAGAAGACAGTCCCAATACATGATACTTGGACAAGTTTCCTCCATTTCCATTTCCTGAAATGCTTCCAATTTTTAAATCTTGCTTCCCCCCTCCTGATTTTCCTCAAACTTCTTGGTAAAAGTTAGGAAGGGCTTTTTTTTGCACGTACCTGATGGTGGTAGGACTTTGAAAATATGTTTGTTGAAAGGGGGAAGGAGAGGAAGAGTGAGGTGTGGGGAGGAAGGAAAGCTGGAGAGGGGCGGTGAGGAGATGTCAGGAGAGAGGAAAGGAAGAGGAGGATGAGGAGGAGGAGGGGCTGACTTGGCTATGGAGAGACGAGGCGAGGCGTGCGCTGAAGAAAACAGCTTGCTAGAGGTTTTCTTAGTTTTGTTTTGCAAACGGCATCCTTAGCCCAAACTGTCCCCTGTGGGAATGGAATCAGTCTTCAGCGTTTTCCAGGCCACCAGGAAAGGCTAGACACCTGTCTCTGCGAGCAGCAGACCACCCAAGCCAGGGCCGGGAGCCAGCCTGGCCAGGCTTGTTTGGGGTCCCCTGGTGAGCAAACCCCGGAGTAGACGCCCTGTCCTTTGGGGATTAAAACCTTTTTTAAAAAAATAAATACGTTGAAGCACATTTCATTTCAGATAAACCGCAGTTACAGATTTTAAAAGACGGTTTTAGCTCGTTCCCGAGTGGGCAATAGTGACCAGGTGTCTCTTCTCTTTGAGGATTGGAAGAGTTCCTGCCCCGACCCCAATCACCTGTTCCAGTTATCCAGGAGGTGCTGTCCTGATTTCCCGCGTGTGGGAAGAACGTCACGTGTTCCGGGGACTGCAAAGTGCGTGCGCTTTTCGGCTCACAGGGTGAGCTCTTAGTCATGGTGTCCTCGTCCCCTCTCTTTCATGTGGCTCGCCCAGAGCACTGAGGTGACCTTTGTTCTGTGGAGCCCGGTATTTTCTTTGTGGTTAAATAGTCCCCGTGTTTCAAGCCCGCAGGCCGCGGCTGGGCTCCCTTTCCCACTCCCTGGGCTCCGGCGGGGTCCCTTTCCCACGCGAGGGGGCTTCCGCCGGGAAGAGCTTCCCGCGCCGCCACCCGCGTTCCTGAGCCGGCCCGGCGTCCCCGCCCGCGCGTCCC